TTTACTTACTTATCAAAAATGGCATGCACGGACGAATGTATAATTTGTTATATAATATGTATAAATGTACAATTTCAAAAGTAAGAGCTGGTGGAACCTGTTCTGAAGAGTTTGAATGCTTCAGTGGGGTGAAACAGGGATGCATACTCAGTCCCTGGTTATTTGGAATTTATATAAACGAGCTTGCACTCATGTTGAGATCTGACTGTAGATCTGGCATATTTATAAACCAATGTGTCGAAGATGTATTTATCCTGCTTTTCGCAGATGATATCTCACTGGTTGCAGATACCATAGGTGGACTTCAGAACAGACTTGATATACTTGATACATATTGTTCGAAATGGAACATGAAAGTAAACTTAGTTAAATCTCAAGTTGTAGTTTTTAAGAACGGGGGTATTTTGTCAAAACATGAAAAATGGTACTACCAAGGTAACCTTATTGATGTTGTCAGCCATTACAAATATTTGGGTATTATATTTTCAAATAGACTCAAGTGGAATCTTTGTTGTAAAACCCTATCTCTGCAAGCAACCAAGGCATTAAATTGTATAAAATTATGTATATCTAAACTTGGTCAACGTAATGTTAAAATTGCGTTTAAACTGTTCGATTCTATGGTTGGTCCAATATTATATTATGGTGCAGAAATATGGGGAACTGAACTTAAACCTGATATAGAAAATGTGCAAAACAAATTCTGCAAATGGCTCTTGTGTACAGGAATGAAAACTACAAACGCCATTGCAAGAGCAGAATGTGGTAGACTAGAGTTATATGTAAATTATGTCATTAAACCTATCAAATATTTTCTTACTATTCAAAGTATGAGCGACAATAGATTGCCAAAATTATGTTACCGGATGCTATACGAACACGATTTGCATGGTAGGTTAAATTGGTGCTCATCTGTACGTGTTATACTATTTAGTTCTGGTTTTGGTCATGTGTGGATGCAGCAGGGTGTAGGGGACGTTAAACAGTTTCTGACATGCTTTAGGCAACGGATTAGAGATATAAATTTCCAAAACTGGCAAACTTATATATCCCAATCCCCTCGCTGTGAATTCTACCACAAGATCAAATCTAGTATGTATTCTGAATCGTATTTATCTAGTTCACTATCTCATAAACTTCGTTTTTGTCTTGCTAATTTAAGGTGCTCAACTCACCATCTAGAGATTGAACAAGGCCGCCATCATAATGTTACTAGAGAGGAGCGAATATGTTCAATTTGTAACAGGAAACAATTAGGAAACGAACTACATTTTATATTATTCTGTCCTATACTTAAAGATCTTAGAGCCAATTTCCTACCCACATGGCTAACAAAACACCCTACCGAAGAAAACGCTATCAAATTGTTTAAATGTCAAGACTCAAGCATAGTTCGTTCTCTGTCCATTTATATATGTAAGGCGATGGAACTAAGATCAGAAATCCTGCAACCATAGTGCTCTTTGATAATGCTCTGCATAAAGATAATTATATATACATATTAATTTATATCGAATTATTTTGTAAATTATATTGTTTGTACAAATAGCATGTATGTTTTTGATACTGTAGGCATATTGCCTCAAAGTAACCGAATAAAGAATTAGATAATAAAGATTAAAACCAATTTATAACAGCCCCACAACCGGTGTGAATAATATGTCCCAATCTTTATTCTGGTCAACAAATTGTACTATTTTAGAATATTTCAATTAATTGATGATACTAATTTCATCTTAACACACCTTATTTAAAAATTTTGAAAAATTCAACATAATGGTTTTAAACGTCTAACGTAAACCTTTTCAAGTGAAACTTCGATTTAAAAATATTTTCGAACCCTCTGGACAAGTAAAATAGGATGTAATGGATAATTTACACAACAGGTAGGACACTTAAACATCTAGTACATAGATAGAGATATTATTTATTTTCTGGAGCGTTCAAGTCAGCAAGAGTGTTATTGTCCCTTTAAAAGATGTAAATTGCATGTAAAATGTTGATATATTGTAACTTGCATGCATAGCTGATTATTGTGTTTTTAAAAGTAGATAAATATTATAAAATAAATGCACTGGAAACTTGACTAAAATTTGTACAATGTATGTAAAATGTTAATATGCTGCATTTTGTATGCATATCGGAGAATTATTGTGTTATAAAATTACATAAATATAATAAAATAAATGAACTGGAAACATATTTAAAAACTGCATAATATATGTCTGACTTAAATGCACCACGGCCAGGGAAGCTTGAGCTGTTATGGGCACACTTCGCAACCACCAACGAGGACAGACTAAACTACTATACTATCTTCATCAATGGGATTGTTCTATTACAGACGAAAACAACCGAATTAATACAAAACGCTACTGCGGACCAGTCCAGTATAGGAACTTATTTCCTAAGTCCTGATTGTACCTGGATTATTACCAGGACACCCATCTATATTACAGTGGCTATTCACTCCCAAATATGCCCATGACTGTCCTGCCCCTACAGTAAACATAACAATTATAAACAATGTTGGCTTCTTAAACATGCATTATGCAAGAGCAAAATCTGCTTATTACAGATCTTTCTTTAGGCCTGAAATGTTATCTAAATTATCAATTAGACATTAATTAACTTATCCAGACCATAATAAACTCTCGATGTCAAGGCTAGCCTTCGATGTTGGCTGGATTAGATTCCTATATGCCGCTTAACGGCCATCAAAACAGTGGATAATCGAGACTATGCTGTTTATATTAATGATTTTAGTAATGATGACCGAGACTATGCGAAAATTTCACCCGCTTCGTTCTCGGCTCATAGTGGATCAATTTGACTGAAATTTTCAGCAAATTACCTTTACACTATCTAGTTTTTAACTATTATAGCGAAAACTGCCATCTCTTTATCTTATCTCCCATAATGTATCTTTAAGTTGCTTCAAGAAAAACTTCTGGGATAAAAGGCTTGGAAACTTAAACTTTATTAGTGTCATAGTTGATCAATTCGATTAAAATACAGATCCATATTTCATTTCGTAATTTTTTATACTTTCGATGGCCTACACATGAAGATCTGTAAAAGGTCGCGTCAGAGGTCGTACGAACGGCTTTTGACCCTATGACGCCAGATATTGATTAATTAATCAGCGTTCCCGTTTCTAGTGGTTTACCCACAGTTCCATGCATCGCAAGCCAAGGCGTCGCCGCAACAGATAGTTTCATTGGCTAATCCAGAACGCCATCCAGAACGCAGGTGATATCCTTCATTTGCATATGAAAATTGATGCTGTGCGAAGGATGCTATGAAGGACAAATGGGATGTGGCAGAGCGCAAATGTAAAATGTAATGAGAGAAATGTAAAATGTAGAAAGAATTTTCTCACAAAACATTTTTCATTTGACACTTAACATTTGACGTTTTACATTTAACTCTTGCTTTAGAGGTATTTTGACTTTATCATTACCGGTATTACGACTTTGTACATTGTACTTTTTACATATAATCAATGGAAAAGACATTGTAGCAGAGCATTTAATATTAGCAGCGATACGCTTCCATAAAACCCCATTTCATTTAAAAATAATGAATTATTTTACGTATTTTCTTTTTTTTTTTTTTGTCGTGTGTAGTGATGACGTGCAGTCTAGTTATTTTACATGGCTACTATCAGCCGCCATATCTGTACCCCACCCTATATAAGAAGCATTATGTAAGATTTAAATAAGAAATCAGCAGTTTTGTTATAATAGTTCAGAAATAGATAATGCAAAATGAATGCATTGAAAATTTCATTCAAATTAGTTTAAGACTATTTGAGGCTATGTCTCGACTATCAAGGGGGGGGGGGGGGGTACGTCCCCGCGACACAAAACTAGGTAATTTCGGGACTAACATATGTATCAATTTTTATTTCAATAATTCGCTTGCGCGTAAGGGGTCTTTAGCAGGGGGGGGGGGCGGAGGACAAGGAGAAAACACACAAGGTTGGACAGGCAACCCTACTCCTTGTCACGTACAACCGGGGAATCGAAACCATGCCAGTTGACTCGATGGCAGTCTTGGCAGACCTTATGATACAACGCACACGAGCTAACCATTCGGCCATCCAACCCTCAAAGAAGACCACGAACAACAAGATAAGTATCACTTGGGACCCGGTTCTCGGTCCTAAAAAAAGACCTTGACAGTAATGGATAAATGTGATGGTCCTTGGCATATCTTCCGGGGGTCACGGTGGCTAAATGGGTAAGACGCTGGCTCGCTAGCCTGGAGGTCGTGTGTTCGATCCCTGCATTGGCCAAGAAAGTTCATCCAGATTATCCGGCGTGCAGGACGGAGAGCCTGACAAGGAAAGCTGTCTAGTCGTTCGGATGGGACGAAAAACAGAGGTCCCGTGTACACATTGGCGTGCACGTAAAAGATCCCTTGACAGTTCCCTCATAGCACACTGTATGGCGTATGCCCGTCTTCATTAGCCCCGATCGGAGCAGAACAGTAGGACGTTAAACCTTATTTCATTTCATTTCTGTGTGGTTTACTATTCCTTAACACTGCACGGCATTTAACACCGTAAACCGTGAATATAAGAGACACACGCCAACACGAGATTTCATCTACATTTATAAACCGTAAAAAAAAACCGCTTATTGAAAGTTACTGGAACGTAAATACTGATTTTAACTTTCTTTAACAATTGAAGAAAGGAAAGCATATGCATTTCAATATCGAGAACACTATACACACGGATTAGAAAAATAAAGTATACAATACAGATTCCCAAATATGTACATTATCTTCTGTTTATGATCACTTGCGCTTCATAATTTCACGTAATAAATGCGACAATGTCTTTTAATATCTAACATATGACATCCAGGTGAACAACAAAATTATGATAAACTATCACCCTTGAAGCTTATAGCTCCCAGATAAGATGCCAACATCAATTATAATGTTACAGCGTGAAATTATGTTTTATCATAGAGTAAATTCGAACTTACCATCTGCTGGACTATATTCTATCGGAGAAAATTCTAAAACTATTACATCCGTAATTTTAATATATGTTACTATTAATATCTTGTCCTTTGAGTTTCTTTTCAATGAGGTGGTGTGTGTAATTTGATAGTATGCGAAGGTATGTAGACTTTATTGACAAGACCGTATAAAACCGAAAAAAATCACGATTAGGATAAATTATCAGAGAGTCTGTTGGTTCGTCATGAAATTAAAATTCATCGATTATTTGTGTGGATTTCGTATAATTTCGAACTGCAGTAGATTAAGATATAATATGTTGACACTTATAATAAAATAAAAGAGACACCATCTTCCACGAAATTTTTCTATAATTTGAACCGACAGTCGCCATATTCGAAATTTTACGCCTGAATAAACCACTGCACGTCTGGGTAGGCAAAGCTAACCCTACTTACAGCAAAACATAGGCATTGTAGCAGCACAACGATTAGATCAGGAAGAGGCGGGGACTTCTTACCAAGAAAATGTTATTAGCACGTTAGAGGTCATAAACGTGAACACTCAAATCAATACAAATGATAGTTCAAAACAGTATGGCCTTTAACCCGTTAATGTGACGTCACATATTATATACATGTGCATTAATAAGGGGTTCCTTCGACGTGTGTTGACAGAGTCGTACAATGTAGACCTAGTGTAAAGACAGTGTTTCATGGATTGACCGTAAATAAAAGGTATGCATTATTTTCACATAATATTGGCTTAACTTGAATTAATACAAAACACCTTATGCTTAAATCTTCCATATACCGTTATATATTAACATAATTTTGGAAACATTTCTGAATTCTTTTATTATTGTTTTTTTTTCATATTTTACGAGGTCTGATCTTCTTTCATTTTCAATTTATATTATGAATCATTTATGCCCTATGTGAACAATGCTTAGTTAGTTTATCATGACTGCTTCGTGGGTTTTGTCCGAGTCCTCCGGTTTCCTCCCACTGCTAAAGAAAGACTCCTACGCGCAAGCGAATTATTGAAATAAAATTGAACCATGTGTTAGTCCCGAAATGAACTAGTTAGTGTCGAGTGGACGTTAAACATCCATATCTCTTTCTCTCTCTCTCTCTCTCTCTCTCTCTCTCTCTCTCTCTCTCTCTCAAATTTAGGGTAATTTTTTTTAGAAGATTCTGATTACTTATGGACTTTAGTGATTGTATGTGAATTAAAGGTTCAATACCACTCTTGTTGTAACTGAATAATATGTCCCAATCTTTATTCTGGTCAACAAATTGTACTATTTTAGAATATTTCAATTAATTGATGATACAAATTTCATCTTAACACACCTTATTTAAAAATTTTGAAAAATTCAACATAATGGTTTGAAACGTCTAACGTAAACCTTTTCAAATGAAACTTCGATTTAAAAATATTTTCGAACCCTCTGGATGTGATGGATAATTTACACAACAGGTAGGACACTTAAACATCTAGTACTTAGATAGAGATATTATTTATTTTCTGGAGCTTTCAAGCCAGCAAGAAATTATCTTTTTGAAAAGAGTTATGGACTTTAGAGGTTGTATGTGAATTAAAGAAATTATCTTTGATCACTATAGACAAATTGTACGACCAAAGTCCGTAAAACTTTAATCATTATAAATAATTTGTGGCTATGTGTGAACTAAAACCAGAAGCGTTTGGATGCCGAGAAAGTTCCTACAGAGACTTTCAGGGGCGGATCCAGAAGGGGGTGGGGGTCCAAACCCCACCCTGCTCAGCTACATAAAAAAAATTGAATGCCTTGCATCAATGAAATTAAATCACAATGTGTTCCTACATCATTACAAAAATGAGTTCTCTCTTTAAAAAGCTCAATTTGTATGCCTATGTAATTTAGAGACGATGATGACAGATTTCCTTAACAGGAACCTGGCAAACCCCCTCCTGCAAAAATTCCTGGATCCGCCCCTGACTTTCCAGTCTGGTATCTTTGTGGCAGTGGCACAGTTATTTTCAAGGAAAAGCACCTAGTTCTATTAATGGTACGAAAACCCAAGGCCCCGTGTATTACCATTGGTCTTATCTGTTCGTCAATCCGTTTCCAATGAGATAGAGAGAGAAATGGGGTTTAACGTCCACTCGACACAAACTATGTGATTTCGGGACTAACACATGGTTCAATTTTATTTTAATAATTCGCTTGCGCATAGGGGTCTTTCTTTAGCAGTGGGAGGAAACCGGAAGACCAGGAGATAACCCACGAGGTTGGACCTTTTCCAATGAATAAAATATTACAATACAATGAAGATTTTCTGATATTTGCCAATCGAAATTAAACCGTAGCTCGAATGTCGCGGAATAATGTATCTCATAAGACACTGCATGACGTATGTCCCTTTTCATTCGTGCAGAAAGGTGACACTTGAAGCCCTATTTCATTTCTTTATTCTAACGAGTGTTAAATAAACATGGTTGGGTAGTTATAAAGCTATCTAGCGGAGTGTTACGACATGACAATATAACGAGAAGTGAAACAACATAATGAATTAGTGGAGGAAGTAAAAAAATAGGTTTTGAGATATAAACGTGCTGTCAAGAAATAGATACCAAACGGATACGTTTACATCCCGCGTACAAGCGACTGTATACTAAACCAAACGCGATCACCGGACCAGAGAAATACCTTTGAGAGAGCGAGAGAGAGAGAGAGAGAGAGAGGCGTAACACACTCACTAGGTCATTATGGGACTAACGGATGCTACAATTTGATTTCAATAATTTTTATGCGCGTAGCGGCCTTTAGTAGTAGGAGGGGGGGGGGTGCAGGGAACTAAAAAAAAACCAAACCCCAAGGACATTTAGCAGGCGACCCTACTCCTTGTCATTTTGTAAACGATACCTAGTATTTTAAAACAATGGTAAAAAGCCCCCCCCCCCCCCTCAGTATTTCGTAAACAATTACTGCACTTTCCACACATAAGCAAACTGATCAAGAGTAAATATTTAGGGAGTTAAAGTGACCCCCCCCCCCCATTCTCCCACCCAACCCGTAAATCATATATTATTTATATGATTATTTTGAATTACTACAATATTATTTCAATTGAGTATTCTTTAATACACAACACCCGAAGCATTTTCTTTAAATTAATGATTATTAAAGAAATATTGAAATTGTCGGCACATAGAGGATATACAGTTCTTGCGACATCCAAACAGCATAATATCATCTATATGTCCTTGATATCCGACACTACCCCCACGAACTCATTCAGGTGTGACCGCTACTGTTGTATACTTAATCTTACCTTAAGACTCAATGCTCGACTGATTCACTTAAAGTTGCCGAACTTTTTAATGATTGGATACAAATTAAAATAAACAGGATGCAGGACCTCTTAAAATAGAACCTTGACAGCCGTATACAAAAATATTTTTTTAAAAAATAAATTCTATTGAGAAGACGGAATTGTACAAGGCACACCCGTTATTCCCTTTTGATTTTTAAACACTATCAATGACAACGGGACTGAGAAGCGTGATATGAAGAGTAAAACACCCGACTATACTGCAGTGCTGTCAGTTGCGCAATCGTCTTTGTTTGTCGCTAAAACAGTAGCTAAATTAACCAAAACATCAAACACTGTTATGTTAAACACTAGCGCGAAAATAACTAAAACAAGGTTAATTAAAACACGAACGAAAATAATAAACAATGTTGATTAAAACATTAGCGAAAATAACTAAAATATTAAACAATGTCAGTTAAAACACTATTGAAAATAACTAAAATATTAAACAATGTTGGTTAAAACATTAGCGGATATAACTAAAATATTAAACAAAGTCAGTTAAAACACTAGCGAAAATAACCAAAATATTAAACAATGTCAGTTAGAAGGTTAACGAAAAAAACTAAATTATTAAACAATGTCAGTTAAAAGACTAGCGAAAATAACTAAAATATTAAACAATGTCAGTTAAAAGGTTAACGAAAATAACTAAATTATTAAACAATGTCAGTTAAAACACTAGTGAAAATAACTAAAATATTAAACCATGTCAGTTAAAAGGTTAACGAAAATAATTAATTTTAACCATTACCAAAATTACCAAAAACACTAAACCATTCGAAAATCGTTTTTTTAACATTCTTGTTCCATATCAACATTCAGGTGTACAAAATAATACACATGATAATTTCCAAAACATGAAACTGTTCATATCTCTGACCTCTATTCAAATGTTTTTTAGGGTCAAGTTTTATGATTTTCTAGGTCATTATAACAATGTTTCCCATATTATTCAACGTCATTGAGTGATGTCTATGATATTTTAAACCCTTGTAAATATTTGTTCTACGTGCATGGTTATAATTTCATATTATATTCTGTAAATAATTACACCACACGAGCTCTGTGTCAGGTTACCCACCTCATGTAGCACATAGCCGATAGTGACTTATACTGATATGACATTATGTAAGATTTAGATAAAGAACTAGCCATTCTTGCTATTCGAAGATAGATAATGTAAAATGAATAATTTGAAAATTTCATTCAAATTACTCTATTGCGAGCGAAGATATTAGCCTCCTTTGAAGGTTGACAAGGCGTGTGCAATAATTTCAACCACCGTACTGGTTGTTCGAAGCTAAGTCTCGCTCCTCCATTTTTAGCTTAAATCAAAATATGGCTGAACCGTTCTAATCTATTTAATTTCGGAGAAATCCGATGCCACCGAGAGTTGATCATGGCCTGGATAAGTTAATTAATGTCTAATTAATAATTTAAAAAACTTTTCAGGCCTAAAGAAAGACCTGCAATAGGCAGATTTAGCCTATTAGTTAGTTTTCATTTTGACTGACGTTTGTATCGCCACACGCCAAGGACTGCGTAGATAGCACATTGGACGTTTATGACTGGCCCCCGGATTCACTCGCTTGATATATACGTTTGTAGTTTACTGTATGAATTAATATATGTGTATTATGTGCGTCGTCTTGTCCTTGGGTTAGCCTTGTGTAATTGTTTATGCGTGGTGTGGTCCTCCTGCAATTACTGATAGGAATACGAGCCACACCACGAGATGTATATCCTCCTTCATTCTCCCGATTTAATCGCATTTTCTTTCTCAAAGACAAAACAATTCTTCCTTGACTCAAATAAGAGAAAGTCGCCGCTATTGAACCGGAATTTGATTGTTAAGAGGACACTAGGTTCTAAATATCTTTGTTAAAAATGTCGATAGTCATTGTTCGCTGCTTAATGATCCACACTAATATGTACTCAAATTAATTATTTAACATTTAATTAAAGATACATTAGTTAAGAGTTTAATAAAGAGTTTGTCATTCTTGCTATAATAATTCAAAAATAGATGATAAAAAAAGAAAATATTCAAGTTATCATTGTTTGTAGTTTCGACAAGATGCGTGCACAGTGGTAACCAGGGCACTGGTATAATCGGGACTTAGCCTCGCTTTCCCATGTTTAAATTAAATTTTTAAATGGCGAACCGTTTTAATCTAGTTAAAATCTTGAGTATCCGATGCCATCGAGAGTCGATTATGGTCTTGTTTTGTTAGTAAATGTCTAATTAATAATTTAGATAACATTTCAGGCCTAAAGAAAGACCTGCAATAGGCAGATTTAGCGCTTGCATAATGTTTGTTTAAGAACACAAAACCCAAATAAAAACGGTAGATAATCTCCTGGTTAGAATT